TTTTTTTTTATAGTTTTTTTTTTTGATTTCGGAATCATGATATTCGATATTTCTTAAATGTAATTGCCTAGATAATGAAATGGAATATTGTTTTGATTCCATAAGGACAAACTAAAGTTTGATTCTTAAAGAGGCGAACATTTAATTTATATTTTAAAGTATAATTATTACAGAATTATTTCAGAATTATTATTATAATTATTTTTGTTTTCAGGATGAACCTCCATATAATAAAGGAGCATTTCGCATTGAAATATCTTTTCCTGCAGAATACCCTTTCAAACCTCCGAAAATTACTTTTCTAACACAGATATATCATCCAAATATTGACGAAAATGGACAAGTTTGCCTACCTATTATTAGCCCCGAACATTGGAAACCTGCAACTAGAACTGATCAAGGTAGCTTTATTTAAACGTAGTTTTTGGAATGTATTATTTCTTATTAAAGATTTCAATTAAAACTAGAAGATACATGAAAAATCAAATTCTCGTATTTTTTTTTTTTTTTTTCAATTTTCTAGTGATTTATTCTTTATTGCAACTTATCAACGAGCCTGAACCGGAACATCCGTTAAGAGCCGATCTGGCCGAAGAATATAATCAAAACAAAGATATATTTCTAGAACATGCTGAAGAATTTACTGAAAAATTTTCAGAACCAAGGCCAGTTGATTAATTTCAAATCAGGCATTACAGCTCAATTGTATTCTACACAAAATATTTTATTATGCACATTGCATAAATATCTAATTGTTGTTGCAAAATTATTTATATTTGTTAATATTTTTATACTCTATTTCATATAATGTTTGTGTCATGCTTTTTGACTTGGCAAAATTCTGTGTAAATATATATGGAATAAGCTTAACATTTCATGAAAATGTTATATATACACACGCATATCAGACATGAAAATTTATTTAAAAAATTATTTGTTACATAGTTAAATATTTTGTTTATTTATTACAATAAATAAATAAAAGCAGATATGCCAGATAGAATTATACATAAAGGTTTATTGATAAAACTCTAAGACGATAAATATAATTAAAGTTCATAAAATAAAAGAAACACAAAATAAAGCAAAAGTGTATTTTCTCTTTGTCTTTTTTCACCCGTTACATTCCTGAAGTGTGAAAAAAGACGAAGTAGGAAGACATTTTCGTTAATTTTACTATTTTCACGAATTTTAATATAAAAGTTTCTTCTTTATTACATACAAATCATAAAATTAACTTTCAGTGGTTCAGCAACTTTACATGGATAGTTCTCTGCCTTTGGCTTCATACAAAAGTAACTAATTGATTGATCTTTTCTATGATTTATTTATTATTATCATACTCTATATCATTTTTAGTTATAGCGAATGAAATTTCGAGATTATAAATTGTATAATTGATTGAAAATTTCGAAAAATTAAGCATAAGTAAAAAAAAACATTTATGTTTTATATATATATATACATATATATATATATATCCATATATATATCGCATGTGATTTAATCTATATCTATATATATATATATAAATGGACATGTATCTCCCTATATTTCACTTTTTCGCAAAAACTACACATCGCACGTGAATGGTGTTTGTATGTGGTGGTAGCCCCAAGTCTCCATTCGTGCATAGGGGTGGTTGCGTCTCGATAGCTATAAGGGTGCGGGAGATATGAGGCTGAAAGTGGTT